GTCTCAGAAAATCTTTAAAAATTTTTATTTTTTCTGGCTTTAAATATATGCGAAAAAGGTATTTTTTTTTAGTAAAAACTGTCTACTTATATTAATCAGTATAAATAGAAAATCTGTTAGGAATAATTAGTCATATAATTTTACTTAGAACTCATTACTGTACTTCACAATACAATATATGTAAGAATGCAAATACTAGGTGTTTTGATTAGAATTATGATTTGTAATATCATATATTTTATATTTTTGATATTCGTTATGTTTTAGAATAACAATCACTTTTATAAAAAAAAAAAATATTATTGTGTTAATGATTTTATTTATATAATTAGATTTTTTTAAATTTCTGTATTTATAAAAGTAGCAATAAAAAAACCTAAACATCATATAAGTTTACATTTACAAATAGGCTATTAATAATTGCGTAAGTATGTAAATATAATAAACTCTACAATTTAACTTTAAAGACTAGCTAAAGTATTTATAAATATTACATAAGTAAATATTAATTACATATAGCAATCTAATAAATGGGATAATTCAGATTTTTCTTGATGAAACAGTTTCTTTTTATCAGTAATAATTAACTTTCTAAAGTTAATAAAAAATATATTGCCTTTTTTATTAACTAAGGTATTTTCTTTTTGAATATCATTGTAAAAAACGTTATGACTATAAATTATCTTTAATGCCTTAAGAGCCTTATTCTTTTGCCATTCTTCTATTTTATAGAAACTTAAAATAGTACCAATAAATGTCATACCCATAATATAATCGATTATACTTTTATAATAACTATAATATACTAATTTTAGAATATATATTTCTTAAACTTTAGGAAGAAGATTATATATTTTGATTTCAATTTGCATTTTATAAAAAAAATTTCTATTCTTATATAGATCTAAAGTTTTTAGAGCTATTGTTTGCCTATGAAATTCATATTAATAAGTCCCTTTAGTTTGCTTATAGCCTAATGAATGCTTAAAATTAAATTTAGAATAATCAAAAACATGTTTTATTAGATCCTGATTTTTTTGTGATCCTTAATTACCAGATGTTCTCGATATACTTCTTAGAATCTAACTACCTTCAAAAATTTTGTTGATTTTACTGTAAAGCTAATTTTGAATTACTATTATTTATTATGTTATAATATGAAAATGTGGAATCTTTTTCTGTTAACTAAGCCAAATATGCATATAATTTAAGTACTAGTAGATTGGTTGAAATATGTTGAAAAGGGTGTGAAATGTGAAGTTTTGTATGATTATATTTTGGTCAATACAGAATAAAGTGATAATCATAGCTTAAAAGAATTCCATATTGAAGTTGTAATGATAACATATAATTGTAAATTTACTTAATTATATCATGTGAATAGAAACTAAACACTTGCCTTTCCAGCTTTTCATCAGTTAATCCCACTAAATCCCTTAAAAGGATGTCTCTCTTGATTTTTAATGCCAATATTTTCTTCATAAAAATATTGTTAATTTTAAGATAGCAAGTGTAATCAGATATGAAAGAGTCAATATTAGGATCATTTCTAGAGAAATTAAAATCCTTTTGCTTTACAAATATATATTTTTTTATAATTTCGTTCAATATACCAAATATATTGACTTTTATAGTTATGTAGATATTTATTTTAATGACTATTTGTATACCATGAAAAAATTGCGGTCTCTCAAATATCTTCTATTCAATAAAGTTGTACTGATTTACTTCTATTAAAAATTCATTTTAACATGCTATTTTTGTAGGCTAAGCGTCATTTACTATTATTGAACTAATCAAAATATTAGTATCAAGAGGATAATTTGCAGGTGAAAGAATATACAATAAAATTTCATTAAAAGTAAGGAGTCCTTTAAAATGACAAACAGGTTGAATAAATAAATAATGCGTTTTTTGGACAAGTTTAGGGATAGGAAGCAGGAAAAAAAAGCACAAGATTAGGTTAGTATATGATTATATAAAAGAAAGGTGAAATATAGAAATAAGTAATAAATATCAAAACAACTGCCTTGAAAGATATATTGAATGGAGCTTACTTTGGTTATTTAACTGAGTGATAAACTCAGCAATGGTTGTGGTTGAAGCTCTTCTTAAATCCATTTGCAAAAAATCCTCTTTGATTACCAAAAGAAACACTTTACCATAGTATCCTTCATTCACAATTTTATTGATTTCAGGAAAAATAAACTTTATTGGATTCTAAAAAATTTTAACGTTTGTTACAGTCCAACTATTAACTGTTTCAAAAGATGGAGTATTTTTAATAAATGTGGACATGTTATTTTATTATATCACAGATGTACGGTTTGGGACACAATAACTCATCAAATAAGATTTGTTAAACTTAAAAATTTAATAAAATTGTTTTAGGCTCGTAAAGTTGTTATTTTATTAACGTTAAGGTAAATGAAATTTGAAACATATAATTCTGGCCGGTGTTATGCCGAAATTATATAACGTTGGTCAGAATTAAATATAGCTAATCTAACGTCGATCTCTTTATTTAGAAAATTTTTTTTTTAAAAAAATCCGTTTTTAAAAAATATAGGACGATCAAAACGACAAAAACAACATTGTCAAAATATAGCAAAAAAAGAAGTAGTCATGATACTGATATTAATCCCACTAATATTTTAAATTCAGAGATGAAAATAAAGAGGATTGACAGGATTACAATATGTTTTTAGCCCGATCTTGTCATATAACGATTGGTTTTACAATATATAACAATTATATAGTGCAGAAAAAAACAATAAGGATTGTAAAAAATGCAATAACTCAATAACCTATATTTAAATTATTTCAAATTTTACAATTTTATTATTAAATATATAAGCATTATGCTTAAAAATTTTTAGCATTTTATCATTCTTTCTTATGCTGCAATTATCTCGTATCTTTAAAATAAATAAAAATAAATAAATGCAATTAGGCGCAGTAACAAAATAATACAAAAATTGATCAATCTGTAAAATGGGGAAAAGTTATTTTTATCCGATTTATAAGCATAGATAACCTTGCCATTTGAATGAATGCTATGAACACAAAATAAATAGATTAAAATTCATCTAATATTTGATTCAATAATGAACTTTCAATTTTGTAGGTCATCTGGAATTGTTTTACTATCGGATCTATTGAAATTCGCAATACAGCAATATGATGATTAATTTTATAATGTATACTGATTTATATGATTTATATGCAAGACATTGTGCGAGGAAGTGAACTAATGATAATCAATCTCAACATAAATGACACATTAAACTTTTATCCGCTCTTTTGAATCAATTTATTTTCTAGAACAATTGATTCGCGTGAATTTTAATTCCTTTAAAATCGAGTAATGAGGTTTTGAAAAAGGAGCATGAATTGTATATCTTTTCCGCAATAAATATAAAAACATAAAAAATATTTTTTAAAAAAAACAGCTTGCATTTATACATATCAATAAAGATAAATTAATATTTTTCCAACTATATCATGAATGACGGTCAAATAAGATGGAAATTTGATTGATTAAATTTTTAATAGGAGTTGCAACTCCCATTACTAATGAAGGTTGTGTGATGACATTTTCAATGAATACGTAAACGCATGTGAATTCTTTTTTCTTTAATTGAAACCTATCCAAATAAGTAAATTGTTGCAGGAGCAAAAATTTAAACATTAATTTTATTTGATCTTTTTTTTTTTTTTTTTAAAAAAAAAAATAAAATAAAATTTACAATATTTACGGAACATAGTCTATCTATTAAAAAGATTTGTTGTAAAAACAAAAAAATCATCGTACATCATTGTGTTGGATTTTCAAGAATAGATCTACAAGGTTCGGAGTGCTAATTGCGATCAGCCACCACAAATCAATTACTTTTTTTGTTTACATGCACTCACAACAAGTAAACCAAACAAAAACAAAAAAAAAAAAACAATATGAATTATACACTTATTTAGGTTTGAGGGTTATTATACAATTCGTGAATCAGTTCGATTTACGGTATCTTCCTAAAAGATAGGAAGAAATTATTGTGATAATGAGAACGGTGAGAAATGTTGTAATATAAATGGGAATTAAATTAATTTGAATTTTTTCTATTTTTGTATATCACAATAAATATTACGCGGTTATGTTTGTTATGCTTGTACTTTTATCTAGGGGCTGTATATAATTCTTACTTATAGAATGAGAATCTTCATATGCATTAACATATTTTAAAGTAAGCTTCGTGGTGTAACTTTGATATTTTGGACAAATTAAAATTCGCGCGTTATATGGCGTAATAATGACAATTTGACAAATTAAAATGCGATCCCGAGCAACTAATTCAGCAAGTATAGGCATGTTTAAGGGAATGCTGTTCAATTTTAATGATTAATGACGGAGTTATGGGAATTTTATTTTTATAAGAATGTCCAGATGCTCTTTTTTATTCAATAATTTGATATTTGGACAAATATAACTAAAGAAAGTTTATTATATTAAAAAAAACAGGATTTATTTCCATGTCAATGTAAAATAAAAAAATAGAGTAAAAATTTATATTAAATAACCTTGTTATTTTATGTTACACAAAACGAATGGTCGCGAAATTTTTTTTTTTTTTTTAGAAGAATTAGATTGGGATACATTTATTTATACGATGATGATAATCAGGTTTCAAAAAAAATTTTTTTTTATCTCATTACATTAAAAGTTATACATGCCCAATATAATCAGAAATATGTTTAATAAAAAAAAAAAATCGTAACACAATAAAACCTAAAACTGGTATTTACATTTGATATTTGACATAATCATATAAAGCAAAAAACTATAAGGGGTACAAACCCTGCGTTGAATATTTGTTGTAAAATATGCAAGCTTCTATTTTTGGATAATGGGAATATAAAAATGATTGATTGATACATGCCACACTGAATGTTTTTTCTTTTTCTTTTCTTTTTTTTTTTTGCTCTTTTTCTTTAATGATAGTTTCAAAATGAAATTAACAACCTTTTTTAATCATTATGCGTTTCTTTTATCAATCATTTTATTTACGATATTGCCCGTAAAATCGCAAATAAATAATGTACTTACATTTAATGAAACTACTAAAGGTGGCAATCTCCCCCGCGTATTTGCGATGGATAAATTTGACGATAACACGATAATTGTTCATACAATTCGTAGAAATTCAATCCCCACTCAAGATAGGATTTGTGTCGATGATTTATTTACATTTCACGCAATTTTTCCTGATGGAAAATCAAAGGCAGTAGTTATTAAATTACCTGTTCAAGCTATTAATTATTGTATCTATGATGTAAATAAAATCCTTTACAACCCTATTAAAATTTATACCATGAGGACAAATTTTATATTGGTAACTTATACTGAAGCAGAGGACGAAACTAATGTTAATACTTACATGGAATATGCCATTATCATTGATTTAGGTGGAAAGATTCATGGGTTGGTAAAAAAAAAAAAAGAAATTTAATCTACATCTTTTATTTATTTATTTATTATATAAAATATCATTATCTTGCTTTTTATAGTAAAATATTACTGGGGCCTTCTTTTGTTGATGTCGAAAATAGATGGATACCTAATAAAGCCAAGATTAAGCTAAATGTTAATCGTGAAAAGGGATTCGTTCGTGTCGGTCCTATAACAAACACCACTAATGCCCTCTTGCAGCAATTCGTAGTGTAACATATCACACAAATTTAAGCTTCAAATTTAATTATGAAAAGTATTTGAATATGAATTAATATATAACTTTTTTATTTTTTTTTTTTATAAATGAAAAGAACTGAGAGCGGGGAAATTCAAAAACTCACGGAAGATGTTGTTATTCTTTCAAATTATTTAGAACTTGTAGTCAAACCCGTTGCAACGATTGATGGAGGATATGCAATCATTTATGCTAATACCACGAAAACTCCCTTAAATGATCCTTTCCTTCCGCAGGGAGGTATCTACGCCATGTTCTTAACATATGGTCAAAGCTATACACGACAACCTGTTGTCATTTATCAAACTCAAATTTCAAACCTGTCATTCACTGGGCTTAATTGCGATATCGCTTACGTAGGATTCGGACAAATTTGTATTTTAACTGGATTTTATATAGACCAACCAGCTCCAAACACATTTTTTATTAGAGTTGATTTCCTTTCATCGGGAACATTATATAACGTTCAATCATTAAATGCGACAGCAGTGGGAGTGACCGAATATAAACTTAGGGCTCTGAGATACGGAGGTTATATATTAATGGGGATAAAGGAACAAACCACAACAAATGATGCCGCCCAACGTTCTATGTATGGTTATATTATTGCTGACAA